ATTCATCATGAAAAAGAGGGAGAACCTCGATCTCCGACGACTCCTTTGTATGTTCCTACACATCACTGGTAGCAAGGAGAAATGATGGTCAAAACAACAAGGTCGAAGGGGGAGGCAGCAGGAAGTAGAGACGGTAGTTGGCGGCGAGGAGTTGCTTTGGTAGCCCCTTCGTTAATTCTTTCTTCTTTTTCTGGCAACATATCTCAAAGATGGAGGCAAAGAGAGACAGATCGGAGAAATATAATAGGTAAAGGGTGTTTGGTTGTTGCTGTTCGAACGGAAGGAAGAGAGACGAGAAAGAGAAGGGTCGCCACCCTTTTCTTGTTGCTGGAGGATCACCCACCTCCGGTGACTAAGCTAATTAATTGCTATTTAGTGTCACTTGTGCTTCCACATCAGCAAAACCTATAGAATCCAGTGAAAATGACCTAATGTGTACATATTAATAAAGTATAAGGGTTTATTTTACAGAAAAAAAAAATAAGGATTAAATATGTACAACTCAAAATGTATCTTATCATATCAAATCATTTTCCCTAAAAGAAAATTCGTATATAACCGGTATATCGGGTATAGCCAGTCACAAGGATTACATTATTACAAAAAATAAAGTATAAGGGTTTATTTTACAAAAAAAAATAATAATAATAATGATTAAATGTATACATTTTAAAAAGTATCTTACTCTATTAAATCATTTTCCCTTTTTTTTTCTATTAAAAGTTAAAGAACATCCAAAAAAAAATTTCAATTCCATCTATTTTTTTCTCTCACTAAGTTAGAGACGGAGGAACAAGATGTTTAGCAAGATAATTGATAAATTTCATGTACAAAAAAAAAAAAAAAAAAAAAAAAAAAAAAAAAAAAAAAAAACCTCACGTAACAAGTAGTTAGGAGAAGGCAAAAAATGAAAACAAAAACAATGAAATACATGATATTAATACGAGAACGATGAAGATATCTACTCTTCCCATATTTTCTATGAGTAAAAAAATAACTATAACAAAAACATAAAAGGGTATTTAATTTCTTTTTTACTATTTATCTCTCATGCATTAGATATATGATGGTTTGATTTACGTTGGTTGGAGGTGCCAAAATTCACGATTCTAAGATAAAATAAAACACATATTGTTTTTTATTCAAAATAACTTCAGTAATCTTGCTTTTATTGTTCTTTATAATTATTGTTATCAGTATTTTGATGTTATATTATTATCAGTATTGTTACTATTATTACTTATGATAAATTAAAGACACCTTATGATTAATCGCTAGCAGGGTAGGACTAAGAGGTGAAGTAGGTGCAGAAATTATTGACTTTGAAATTAATTGACTTAAATGGGAAATTATTAACAAAGAAAATAGGAGGAATATATTTATCTTTGACCTTTTTTTACATTTTTATTATATTGTGACTTTTTAATAATATTATTGATATTTATTTTTATTAATAAAAATTGTAAACTATTTTTTTTTCCTATTAAGTTGAGGGTTTAAATTACAATAGACAAATGAAAAATGTAAAATTTTACTTTAACACAATAATAACGTTAAAACAACTCCTTTTAGATGTTTAACACGAATTTATCATAGAATATGATACGCAATCTATTTATCATATTTATTAATTTGTCTATTTGTAAATTATATAATATATTTATTATTTAAAATATCTTTAATAGATAGTCCTACCACCAGATAGGGGTGTCAATTTATGACACGACACGACAAAAATATACAAAACGAAACGAAATTAGGACGAAATCAAAATTCGAATTTGTGTTCGTGTTGTTTTCGTATCAAGATTAAAAAACACGATGTCATGTCGTGTCGTGTTCGTGTTCATAAATCGACACGATTAAGCATGTGGTTGTCGTGTTTTTCGCGTTTGTCGTGTTATATATCTTTAAGTATTAACGAAATACACTAATAGTTATGTAATATTATCTTTTTCATGTTGTATCGTGTTGTCGTGTTTTAATTTGTTCGTTTTCGTGTTAATGAAAAAACACCACATCGTGTCGTGTCGTATTCGTGTTATACAAAATCTTGTCGTGTCGTGTCAGACAAAAACACGACACGACTGCCCGATTTAACAGCCCTACCACCAGATATGAAATAAATTTGTGTTTGTGTTATTCTTTCATAAACTAAATCTTATTTTAATTTTTTTTGAACCGGCAAAAAATATTTTATTCATAATATTCACCTTACTAGCAAGAAACTAGTAGAGATGAATGTTTAACATTGTTTAAGTTACAAGGAAGAGGGGTTGTATTCCACACGCTCCAATCTATTCTATCAATACCTCATCAATGTTTTATCCAAATGAATGTTTGTGCTTTTACAACAATTATTTTTGTCGATTCAGAGTCAATCTTGTTGAATACTATATCATTTTGGGCTCTCCATAAACACCATCGGGCTCCAAACACTATCGTTGTTGACGTATTCCTCTTTTTGGGATAGTTACACCATTTAGAGGCAAAGTCAATGATATTTGAAACAATTTAGAACTCAGACACTTAGATGTTACACCATTGAACAATCGAGTGTAATACTCCTTTCACTAGAGTGCATGAGACTAGAATATGATCCCCTGTTTCTTCTGTCTCTCTACAGACTCTACATCTAGTCGATGTCATTATAACATCCTTGCTTTTAAGTGCTTCAGCCGAAGGTATTCTGTTTTGTTTCGCCCTCAATACAAAGCCCAAGATTTTTAATTGGATTGTTTTTAGCTAAGGGAAGAAGCCTATCTAAACTTTAGGGAAAATGACACAAATGTCTTACGAACTTTATAGGGTTTACCCATTGAGTCCTTAAAGTTTTTTTCGGATCTTATGGGTCCCTAAACTAGGATATGACATGCTCTTTTAATCCCTATCAACATATAATAGCCGGTTCAGTGACTTTTTAGACCAAAAAAACTCACATTGTGCCCTTATAAAACAAAAGTAATAAGTTCGGGGATCAGGACAAATTAAGTGTGAATCGGTTTTAGAAGAAAATGAAAGTTTTTTTGTACGAATTGATCCCCGTACTTTTTTTTGGTTTTATAGAGTACAATGTGATTTTATTTTTTATTTTTTGTCTAAAAGGTGACTGAATCGGCTATTACAGGATGCTAAAGACTAAAAGAACATGTAATATCCTAGTTTATGGACCCATAAAACCCGAAATTTCCTATGAAAGTATAGTGACCAAACCTATAAATTTCCCATGAATTACAGGGACAACTTTTGTATTTATTTAAATATATTGATTGTTTCTGCAAAGAAAAATACACATTGACATTGTATGTAAATTACGAGGATAATTTTTGTGATTTTTTTTCTATACAATGGCCAAACTTGCCATAATACAAACATTTTAGACGTATGAACTTTTTATGTAAATTACGAGGATAATTTTTGTGATTTTTTTCTATACAATGGCCAAACTTGCCATAATACAAAGACTTATCACATATGAACTGCTTGTAAAAAAAAACTTCACATGGATCTTTTTTGTAAATTAAAAAAGTACAAAGATTAAATTTTTCAAAATATAAAATCTTTGTTGCAATGACTAAAATGGACAATTTTTATGGTAAAACTCCAAAAATAGAAAACTATACTTTTGTTAAGAAGTTATATATATATATATATATATATATATATATATATATATATATATATATATATATATATATATATATATATATATATATAGAGAGAGAGAGAGAGAGAGAGAGAGAATTAGAGCAAGGGTTGTTTGGTAACCTTTAATATGACCAATACAAAGATATTTCATCGAACAAATAGAGTACACCTAAATATAATTTAGCATCTTAACAAGAGTAATAAAACAGATATCATTACTTCTTAATACAACTAAAGCATGTAGTTGCAAAACAAATATATATGAAATTAAATCGGGTCTTAAAATCGACATAACTATAAAATAAAATGAAGTAATTCAATCAGACCTTAAGATGATACTCGAAGCAAAATTCATAAAACAATTAAGCAAACGAAATCACAAATTAAACCCTAGCCTGGATCATAAACAACACGAACTTCAAATAAGTTGATTTAAATAAAACTACGACTTACAAAAAAATGGATCAACTTATCTCTTTCATCAAAGGGATTAGGCCGGATCAACCAACCATCACCATCCGATTTGTAGATAAATACTATTAAAAGTCAATGCGGAATCTCAAAATTATTGGTTAGATTCAAAACTGATACTTGATCGAGTAATTTAAAAGAGACATTTGAATCGTAATAATAAAAATAAAAAAAAATTAAAAAAAATAAAAAAAATAAAAAAAAAAAAAGTAAAGCATCGGTTGCTAGGTATATGCCGAATGATTAAGAAATTGCCTCTTAATATTTCTATTAACAACTTACCAAACACCATCTAAAATATTGTTAAAAGTTGTCGTTTTCTTAGTATTTAAAGATGAAGAGACTAATGTGGTTGATGCGTGAAGATGTCCAAAAAGCCTTCAACCCAAGGGAAGGGCCGCTAGGTTGATATGCAGCCATGTGTAGGTACCAAATAACAATCATATCGCATGTGATGCTATTTATTGCCAATCACACGTCACATGTCTCAAACTATCACTCCACAGTATAAAAATTCAACCCAAATGTTATGGTTATGTTTTACGCCAAATGTTATATTTTACTACTTTAACATGTATAAAAACTAAAAAGTAAGTATTAATGATCACATGCAACAATATAAGCAACTTGTAATTTAGTTCTTATTTATATTTCAATAAACTAAATTACAATTCAAACAAGATACTTCTGGTTCCACTTTGTTTCACCAGACCTTTTACATTCCTCGTATTTTCCTAACACATCAAACTCTAATATTAATTAGTTAATTATAATTATAATTATATATATATCTTATTATTTATACGTATATAAATACTTTCTATTAAAATAAGCTTAGTGGATATTGTTTTTTATCTTTTTTTTTTTTCGGGATTAAATAATTCAACAGATATTGTGGAATCTCCAATCCAATCTCACTTCAGTGGGACCCATCACGTGCTGATGGCTGGGTTTCCGGAACGACACGATGTGGCTGCTCACCATGAACGCCGTTACCCGCTCCGATACTCTGATCTCCTCCATTTTCAGTTCTTGTAGCCGGAGAACGTACTCCGGTACGTGAACCATGTCCCAAACCACCCCTACTCCGCCTTCCTTCAACACCCTCACCACCTCCCCCACCACTCTCATCCTCTCCGCCGATGCCGCCGCTGTTTTCGGCCCGAACTCCTTCCCGACCTTGTGAACAAACCCCGCCGACACCACCACGTCGAAGTAGTTGTCCGGAAATGGTAGCCTACGCGCGTCTCCTTCACGGCAGGTCACGTATTCTTGTACGCCTTCCATTCCTGCCGTCCTTAGGGTTGATAAAGTCGTGTTTTTGCGGTCTAACCCGACGACTCGGCCGGAGCTGCCTTCTTTTTTAAGTTGCATTGCGACGGCGTTGAGGAGGATGCCGCGGCCGCAGCCGACGTCGAGTACGGTCTTCACGGTGGACCAGTCGTGGACGGCGCTGACCATGCGTTGGGCCATGTCCCAGCGAAGGGCGACGGAGGAGTAGAACATGTTGCCGGCGGCGTAGAATAGGCAGACGGCGGAGAGAGCTGTGACGGAGCCGGTGAATCCTGCGGCGAATCTGGCGATACTGGTTGAAAATACTGACGGGAGGATTGATTCGAAGGTGTAGCAGATCCAGTTGAAGTATAGAAGGAATACGAGTGATGAAGCGGAGAAGACAATCGCATGGATCAAGAGAAAAATCGGTGTGTGCCAATCTTCCATGCCGTATATTGCATAGATCTGAGTCCAATCTCTTCCTGCTTTCCCCATTGTTGGAAGTTGATTTTTACCCAGATTTAGAACTCAGAATCTGCAGTTTCAAAGCCAAAAAATGTTAGAAAAACAGTTTGAAAATTGGGATTCAGCAACTAGCATAACAGTATTCTCGACCAGTAAACAGTAAGCGAATATATCCCACAAAATCAAGCGTAAAGTCATTTCACCAATGAAAGCTCAGTCAGAGTGCAAATTCCATTTACTTTAAGAAACTAAAACAAAAAGAGGCACACATTCCTTTTGTAAATCACGAGAATATGTTAGTTTGCCGCGAAAATTCACCAATTTGGAATGAATTCACATGTTTCACTTCTATCTCTTTCATCGGCAACCAAACAGATTACCAAACATAGAGAAATTAAACATCATAGAAGCCTAAATCAGATTAACTATTCCTACGAAAATGATGTCTGCAAGAGCACTGAAGTAACACTTACAGTTCAGGACAACGCAACGCGATATTCGTTATCAGATCCACAGAGAACGATGTAGAAGTTTTTGATCTTCACCAACTACTTGAAACTCAGCAATCCGAGAGAGAATTATGAGAAATGGAGGAGAGATTTTTTCAAGGCAAAATTCATATCAAAATCAGCAGTCATGAAAGACGGTGATTCAGATCTAGAATCAACCGGCGACGATTTTCGCTTTAGCTTTCGTCCTTCCGTTCTTTGCAGTTGCAGCGCGCACAGCCTTTTGAAAGTCGAGTGAGTGAAGAACAGGAAGATAGTGAATGAATGTGGACGGAGGGAGGGAGGGAGGGAGTCGGAGGTAGAGGTGGTGGTTGCGGTGGTGGGTGGCGGTGTTTAAATCGATAAAGAAAGGGGTAATGCTGTCCCTCCTTTTATACTGGTGGCCTGGTGGGGGTTAGTGAAGTGAGGTACGGTTATACAGACACGATAACCAACCAAGACTTTGTACGGAGTTTAATTTAACCGCTAAAATGTTTTGAAACCAAATATAAAATCATAATTAACAATAATAAATATATTTTTAAATCAAATTTTATTATAAATATTATTCTCCTTTTTTGCAAAAGAGAGCAACATCATTATGTTAAATCATCATTAGTAGACAAAATTTCGAGTATTTGTTTATGTTAAATCATCATTAGTAGACAAAATTTCGAGTATTTGTTGTTTTATGTAATATGATAATAGTTTAACTTACACGAAAATTAAATATTTTGTCATTTTACATTGTTTAAAATATAAATTATATACATAAAGCTCACGGTACATAATTTTTTTTGTGTGTGTGGATTTAGTCTTTTGTTGAAATAGTATAATGCAAATTATTCTTAAATGTATATTTGTTTAAATAGTATAATGCAATTATTTTTAAATGTATAAAGTCTTTTGTTGATACAGTATAATGCAATTATTCTTAAATATATAAAGGTTAAAGATTGTTCGATATGATCCGGTTAGATAGGTTAAAGGTTGTTTAATATGATCCGATCATATTTAAACTGTTTGATATCATATTTTGAAGTCTTTGACTCGATCATGACTCATTTGATATCCATCTTACATGGTCAAATTTAGGATTGTATCTAATTCAATGATACAACTATCAAACAACTCATAAAAAAATATAAGTCATACATGTGTTTTGAAATATCACTTTTCAAAAAAAAAAAAATGGATGTATTTTGTTTATACTAAACATTTATGATGTGTTATTATATCATGTTTGGAAGATCAAGATGTAATACATATATAAAGGTAAATGTATGATTTACCTAAAATTGATAATTTTTTTCATGAAAACATTATAATATGTTTTTTTGACTTTAGTTATGAGAAATCAAGTTTTTAGATGTTTCACAAAAATATATTTTATTTTATTTTGAAAGCTTTTTGTTAAAAATGTTTAAACTTTGCATTAGTCGTGTTTAATGAATATGATTTGGCTCGTGTTTGATCAATCCAAATGGTTGATCTGTATATACGAATTTGATCTATTCATTTACCTATTGAACAATCGAATCAATTTTCTTATGATTTTTCAGTAAAAGGAAATAAGCTGAGTCAAATCACACCCCCTCTATTTTGCACCCGTTCCAAATATGAGTGAGCGTATGGTTCTTTTGTTTGTGTTTATTTGTGTTTCTTTTGGGTTAATCACTAAAATGATCCAAAATGGTTGTGTTCTATTAGAAAAAAAAAATGACCAAACGTTAAATATTTTTCATAAAATAAATATTTATTTTGTGAACTGTCTTAATTTCACAAATATCACATATATTAACTTATTAAGCATATCCAAATACAGAACTAAAAACAGAAGAGTGTATCCGAATAATTGTTAATTAGAACAAGTTATAACATATATATTTAACTTGGCCACCGACGAAATTTTCATCCTTTGACCAAGAAAATGTCAAAATCTCGATGGAGTACAATCTGTGGTTGACAAATTCAATTTGTATTAGAAATATATCCACCATGTAGTTATAATATATGAGTTTACATGTTGTATGATATAAAAAGGATTATAGGTCAAAGCCCGTACTAGTTGTTAAGACCGAGTAAAGATATCGTATTTTATCTATATCATAAAAAAAAACTTATTTTTCTAAGAAAATATTACGTATGCTTATTGAAATAGGTTAGAATAACAATTGGACATCCTTTCTCATTAATCACAATGGGTACTTATAGGTTACAATATTCAAATTTATTATAACTCTAATGCAAAATAAGGAAAACTATAATGTGGAAATTATGACAATAATAAACCAAATATTGATCGAATGATATCGCTAATATAAGGAAAACTATAACTTTCAACTTGTTTATGAAATCTTAAACAATATTACCTTGTTGATGTTTGAACTTTTGAGCTTAAAAGTGGTTCCTGCACGCTCTTGATTTTGAGAATATATATATATATATATATATATATATATATATATATATATATATATATATATATATATATATATATATATATATATGGGAAAAGTGAATATAACCTTAAGGGTATATAAGCTTACGTACCAAAACTCACAATACTACGTCGTTTTGTATCATATAATGCATTATAATTGTCCAATGTTCTTATAATTCAACTTCTAAATTGATTTCCTTCCATGATTTTTATAAATTACACATTTATTTTCCTATTTCTTAATTTTCATTTTCAACTACAATAAATATAACCTAATAAGTGTTCGACAAATAGATGTGATATAAGAGAAATGTAATACTGAAATTTCGAAAATCTTGAAATTAAATCAAGTTAGGGGTTGAAGTTTAAGAACATTATAACGAATATATCAAACAAAACGACGTATTATGGTGTGTTTGAGTACCTAAGCTTATATACCCTTAAGGGTATATTATATTATATATATATATATATATATATATATATATATATATATATATTCACTTGCTCTTGAACGATTCTACATTACTAAGGTTGAGCTTGTATTGACTTGATATTTGAAGGTTGGTATAAATCATGATTCATTTGAAGAAGATGGCAGCATGTTTAAGACATTTATTCAAAACCCCATTTGTTTGAGATAAACTGGACCACCAATGGTAGTAAGAAACTTCTAAAAAAAACGTAACACACCATAAAAACATTGTCGAAAACTTAATAACCTGTTTTTTCCACCTACCTAGAGAAGACTAGAGATAATTTTGATGAACTGATCAATTCCAGAGAGCGAGCGAGAGAGAGAGAGAGCGAGCGAGAGAGAGAGAGAGAGAGAGAGAGAATGGAATGCTCATTAGTGATGATAAAGAGGCTTGAGAGTGCTTATGGTGAATTTTAGGGTAGAGAGAATTGAGATTAAGGCGGAAGGATGAGAGGTGTCAGGTATATGATGGAATATTTTGTAAGGATGTGTGGATCGTATCATGTTCTTTTATCAGAGAGCTCTCCGATGTTGTATGTCTTGGAAAAAATTAAAGAGAGATTGATGGCATTGATTTTGTTATATGATGAAATTTCAAATGGAGGTGATTGATTTGTTAAGGTAGTGAAGAGATGTCTTTTTTCTTATCTGAAACCTTGGACAGAGTGTCTCTTATAAATGAGGTTGGTTCTTAGAATTAGGGTTTAGATGGAAGGATAATTTTTGGTATCTTCAATTATGTATTTTTGGATAGAAATGTTGTGTTGCCAACTCTTTTAACTAGATAGAATGAGTTGGTCATGATAAAAGGCATCATTCTAGCTTGGTGATGGGTGTTGAATCGTTTAGCCAGAAGAGATTGCTTTTATGCTTGTTCCGTAAATTGGTGACTGGATATTTGTAGTGTTTTTTTTAGATACACCTAGCAGCGGATATAGTATAGAAGAAGTAGGGTATATAGACCCACTTGTAAGTGGCTCCCTGTAACACCGTAAATTTCAAAATAATTTTTCGCATTTTATAAAAACATAATTCATTTAATATTCGTAAAAACACCCATGTTTGAAATTCAATCTATGTCATACAAAAATCCCAAGATCTCATAACATAAAATCCCTTGTGTGTGTACTGATCAAGCCGGCACCTTCACACAGTCGTCACTAGTACAGTAGTACCTGAAACAAATAACACCAAACACTGTAAGCACAAAGCTTAGTGAGTTCCCCAAAATACCACATATAACACATATTAGCCACTCGAGGCTATAACTCCGTGGGTCCGTGCACCCAAACTCTGTGAACCCTCAGGTTCTAACTCTGTAAACATGCACAACATAAATTACATAGAATAATGCAATGCAACACATAACACATATATAGCATACAAACACTGTATCACATACTCTAGTTACCTACTCAAGGTAAAGTATAGTGAGAAGACTCACCTCGTGTATCTCGATAACTCGCACATCCCTAAAATCACTCGTGCTCGATCCCCCGAGCTATAATCTTCCTATAATACAATATATGTCTAATTAACACTTTTACAACTAAGGTTGACTAACCTTATCAAGTGAACACTGGTCAACTCTGGTCAACGATTAACTTTGATCGGACTCGGC